ACCCAACTGTATCCACCCAGCTCCTTAGGATCTTAGAACCCCAAGATAATACAGACCATCAAATAGGACAAAAGGAGGTTTTTGATACAAGGAAATAGTTTTTGGCCAGTCGGGCCACTGGCCCTGCTTGTTTACTAGAGCTATGGCCACTAACTTAGGTAGACTAGTCTATTTCCTTATTTGACCCGCCCCTAATTTGTTTTGTATTTTAGGTTTGGATGATGCTTTTTATGTGGAGGAATTATTGATTAATAGTCACTTTCCAGTGACAGAATGGTATGAACTGGGAAAGAAACTTGGACTGAGCAAGAATACGCTGGGCATCATTGAAAGTAATTATCGCCATGATGCATCTCGCTGTCTGACTGAATGTCTTGCCAAGTGGTTAAGTAGAGCTGATAATGTTGACAGTAAAGGAGGAGCCACCATTGATTCGTTAATAAATGCACTTGAGTCTATGGGACATACTGCTGTAGCCGATAAAATGAGTCAGTAATTTCATTATTTTACTTGTACTCTATTATTAATCTTACTGTAGAAATTCACATTATTATAAAAAACCATCTCCCTTCCCTCTCACAATCTCTTTGTGATCTTTCAACTACTGTGTATTGGTTATATGAGGAGCATGTGCTAACAAGAGAAGTGGTCACTGTGGTGGAGTCTGCTAGTCCCTCTGTTCCTAATCAACGTGAGGCTCTATTAACTGCTGTCAAAGAAGCTGTTCAAAATTCCAAGAATTTACAGACATTTGCTAGAGTGCTATCTAATTCTACTAATTCTACTAATGTGCAACTAGGATTAGCTATACAAAAAGATATTAGTGAGTATATTTTTCCAATTTTATTTTTAATGTTTTTACTTGTTAGATAAATATTTTCCTCCTCTTAAAGTGGGTATTGAGCCACAAGGTAAGTAATAGTATTATATAGTATAGTATACTTATTGACGTAATATTAAAATATTTAGATAATGAAAATATGGATGAAACAAAGTCACCATTACCTATTCAAGTACAGTCTACACCGTCACTATTGGGTATGTACATGTACATGTAATTTTACTAGCACTTGCAATAACTGCACGAGCAAGTAATTATTTTGTAGCAGTGTAATATTTATACTCTTGATCTTATCACCTTTTTCTTTAGATTCTGCTGGAGATACAAAAATTGATAGTAATTCCCAACCTTTATCACCTCGATGTAATTTTTAAATCTATAATAATAGTTGCATTCTCAACTCTCTGTGTATAGTTGAAGTACGCGTGCCTGTTCCTCAAAAATTGGAAAAACAGTTTAATTCAATAAGAAGATCCCATGGAATGATGTTTTTAAATATCCGTGAACTTATTCAGAAAAAATCTCTTTCACTAGAAAGCATACAAAAAATACTGTCTTTTTGTACAAGCAATAATACTACCCTTCAAAAGATAGCCAAGTGTTCAAATGTTTCTAGTGTCATAGAAGTTCTTCGAGATGAGTGCTCACTGACTGATATTGGGCTCTTGGAGTGTGTAGTAGAAGAGTTAAATATTACTGAAGCTGAGGAATATATTGAGAAATACATGACTAAATTGGGAGAATTTTGCAAGTCAATTGAAATTGATCTTTGTCTTAAGGAAAGATTTGATTCCATTCCTCATCTTCAATGGGAAACAGTTACTCTTGTATTTGATTGGGAGCCTGAGAAACATATGTTGAAAGATATTAGAGTTATACTATCAGAAGTGTCTGGTAAACTACTGGTCATTAAGTATATAGAAACTTCCACTTCAATATCTGTCACTTGCTCCTTTCCTTTTTCTGATGTTGGGTTTACTGTATTGAGGATGATGGAGAATATTCATATACTAATGGGACATGGATTAAAGAAACTGACTATTGGTAACTTAACATTATGGAGGAGACAAGATGTTAGACAAAAGGTACATCATGAAATTTCTGAATAACTAATCATGTTAATATTTTTTCAATTAGGAACTGCACAAAAAGAAACAAGGACTTCAAGATACAGAGGTCAGTTGGCAATCGGCATATACATGTAATTTTTGAAAATGTTATTGATGTATGATTATTTTTATTTTACAGATTATTTCTTTCTTTATACTTGAAGAGACTAAAGGTAGACTAAGAGATGCTATTAGTTGCAAAGAGAAGGTATGTTTATTGCAAATGCATGAACATTGTTTAGTAGGTTTACTTACATCTGATTAACTAGAAAGCATTCGAGCTAAAGCAGAAGATATCTGAGGTTTTGAGACATCGTCGAAATGAGGTTAGTTTATGTAGCTATTTACATCTCAACTCAAACTAGCGTATTGTGCTCTGAATTAAATTCATGTTTTAAAATCTTCATACATGTAGCAACTTGCTGGAGATGGAAGATGCCCTTTCCGTGTGAAAATCCCAGGTTTAGGATGCATATACTGGCTGTTTGATCTTCCAGACGATAGCTCTCCTATCATCAAACAATACACCAAAAACCTTCTACAGGCTTGTGACCTGGCTCTGGCAGACTCTGCCTGCATCAAATCAATTATCAATCGCTCAGTTTCCGTGATACAAACCTGCAGCAAGAGAGATGCCATTTGTTTAGGCAGCCAATGCAACCGACTAACCAAATATATTGAGGCAACGGATATATACCTTTTCTTCTTTAAAGATATTGCAATGTGGATAGCAAAGAAGCTCCAGTACACCATGGAGTGTTTGTATGACTGTCGACCTCCGAGAGAAACTGAAGCAAAACTTCTACTACAAAGCATTGATGGTCTATCTGAAGTAGTGCTGAAGGCAACAGATATGCGGCTGCTTTTGGTTATGAAAATGGCTACAATCACTCACGAAGGTTTTACCACATTTTTACAATTCGAAAATACCATACAAGAAGCGTACTCGTACTGCACTTTGGCTCATTTTTCAAATAATGATCAAAGGCTTGCTGAACCAGATGATGCTGAAACACTAGCTATACTAAATGATGCCACTCACAGCCTTTTTGTCCTATGGGAGGAAATAGCCAAATGGTTAAGGACTATAGTGAGCTTGACTGGTGACATAAAGCAAAACACGCCACAAGTGCAAGATAAGAATTTTGACGAATTCAAAGTAAAAGTTATTACTATCAGTGCAAGCTGGATAGCACTTAGCAAAATGTGCTTTAAATATATCAATCACATAAAGCCACAAGAATTTCAAAACAGTATTGAAGCCACTTTTCCATTGCAGTCTATCGATGATGTCATTTCTAACCTTAGCACGCTTTTCGATGACATTGAAGCTCACTTACTGAGCTATAGTGATCGTGACCTTCAACTTGAAGACAGCATCAAAGTATATGGGAGTTGGGTCCAACCAAAGATGGACACTACAGTTTATCAATGCTCTGACCTAGCTAGAGAAGCTAAAGAATTATTGTTGTCCTTTGATTTTGTGAAAGCTTCCAAGAAATTAGTTGAAATTGAGCAACAGAGCAAGCATATAGCCATTATGGTCAAGATCTATCTAAAACGTCTCCACGTTATTGAGGCATATGCTGAATGCCAGCAAGAAAACATAATGAAGAAACGACACAAGCTGGAGTCAGAGGTGAAGGACAAAGAAGAAAAACAGAATGAGTTAGAAATGGATTTAGCCAAGGCCAACCAGCAGCACAATCATTATGAAACCAGAAAGAAAGAATTGCAAAACAAGAAAAAGGAAGTCGAAAAGCAGAAAAAAGATTGCAAGTCTAGTCTACAAAAACTAAGTAAAACAAGTCTAAAATATCTTTACACAAAGTCGATTATAATAGATTTAGAAAAACGAGTGCAAGTCAGCAAAAACAATATTAAGTTGAACGAATTCAGCCGCAAGAAGTCCCGAGGCTATATCAAGAACAAAGAATCCCAAATACAACGATTGAGGAAAGGAATCAAAATATTGTCACAGGAACTTGAGAAATTGAGGCAGAAAAGCAATTATGGTATAGAGCGTCTACAAGAGATGAAGAAAGCAACGGCTGACTTAAAGAAGTCCACCTTTTTATGGAATGCTTTTTCAGTGAATGTTGAACGTGGTGAAACAAGGTCAGTAAAAGCTTTATGGCTAGTTCAAACAGCAAACAAAAGCAAAAACAAGGAAAGGGTTCTTGGAAGCAAAGGAATGCAGACGGCTTTGAAGAGTTTTACTGATGCCTTTACAACAGTAGAGCATCTGTTTACAAAGCAGTGGCAGTGTGTGATAGTTTATGACTACACTTGCGACATGTGTGAATCTCCAAAGAATGGCCTCCCTCTTCCAGTTGACGAAAACACTGTTGTCTGCTGTGACTGTGCTCAAAAGTTTGTAGAATAATGTACTGCTATTAACTTTTAGTTAGTATGCAAAATAAATTGCTGTGTGATGTAATTATTAGTTATGGTTTTACTTATAAAAATTTAATTCATGACGTGACCTCAGTTAGTGAAGCAGTAATCTTATTTGGTGGACCTTGAAAAAATGCATTAATGACAATTGTATAAAATAATATAACTTCAAAGTTCTTTATTCTTAAGAATCTTGCTATAGCATAGCAAAAGTCAGAAATGATATGCCCACTGCTGTTTCAGCATAATTATATTGAGGTATATGTACATGGAATTTTTTACTTCCATGTGAGCCAGCAATATGTAAAGGTGTAAGGCAATCAGCTCTTCTTTTAATAAGTAGAAGAACAATTCTCTCATTACCTGCCTCACAAGCATAATGAAGTGGTGTACGTCCAATGTAATCGGTAGCATTGACCTCCACTACCACTTTGCTGTTGTGTAACAATTCGTAGACATCATCATAGTTGCTATCAATACAGGCTCTGTGAAGAGGTGTCTGACCAAAGTTATCACTGAAATTAAGAGTATTTCTTGCTTCTGAATCTAGACATGGATTGTTAGTAAAAATGATACAATGCATTACTCTTGATGTATTTTAACAGACAATTTATAATAAAAATGGGTTTATAAGCACAGGATGTAAAGGTATATCCTAAATCACATTTTGTGAAAGAACTCCCACACATTCACAAACTTGTTCAGCACTAACTGTATAATCATTGAAGCTTTGATGGAGCATGTCAAACATCAATCACTGTGTAAGTGAATATGAACTATATGAAGGGAATTTTTGTACATCATCTTTATTAGATCTTTAAATTTATATAGAATTCTAATGCTATTTTAACAAGACATAACTTGAAGTATTATTTAAAAACTGTTTCTCACAAAATGATCACACAATAAGACAAAAATGCTGCCAATAATAGTATCATTCTATATAACATTTTACTAGCCTACATCACTGATACACTAGCTGATGTGGTAGAAAATATATGCAAGGTTTTGGCTATGCACATCATCAGCATATAAATGCTCATTAATGCATGTTACTCAAATAATTCAGAATATAACTTACCAGCAATACCATTCTTATCCTTAGGTGTTAGTTTTATGTTTAAAAAGCATAAGAAGCAGAAGTCATCAGAGAAACCTGAAACAAGATGAGAGAGAGAGCCCAGTAGTAAAAGAGTAAAGTGAGGAAGAGAATGAGTAAAGAGAGTTTTAAAACTATATAATTGTAACTCACACTACCATTGGAATTTCAGTTGCTTCGACTGGACTAACAGCCAAACTAGCCATCTTCTTAGCTGTCAGAATTTTCCCCAACACGCAAATTATTTTCAGAATTATTCCCCCGAAAATTTACCGGGAAATCATTCCTGAATTTCCCTCGAGAAGTTTACATTATCACAACTGACTGGATAGCTGGGTATATCTTGATTAAAGCTGTAGGAACACCAAAATTAAAGTTAGAGTGATTTTTAACTAGAGCTATTTAGATTGTTAGAGCTTATTCCAAAAAAATTAGTATTTTAAAGCATCCATTAATTTTAAAAAATTAATAAATCATTCAAAATTTAGATAATGATTTCTCTAATTTGTCCTAATACATCTATATTGTATGTATATTCATGTTTTTATGTTGTGTGGCAAGTTTAAGTGCTAAGCTGATTTTGACCAAATTTGTATTTTTACAATTTTAAAAGTTACTCAAAAATTAAGCCAAATCCCTGTACTGTAAGTACAAGGTTTTTGGCCAAATTTTGAAAAAAAAATGACTAGAAAAAAATTCCCCATTTTTAGAATTTTTTTCTACATATACATGTTCTTATGTTGTGTAACAAGTTTGAACTGATTCTAATTGAAATTGGATTTCCTACAGATTTTAAAAAATATTTTGACAAAAATGACTAGTAGAGAATTCTTTATTTTTATAATGCTTTCTGATATAATGTATATACATTACATGTTCTTATGTTGTGTAGCAAGTTTAAGCTGATTAAGATCAAAATTGGATTTTTTACAAATTTTAAAAGTTACTAAAAAGCTGGGCTTGTACTATAATAGGCTAGGCATCTTTGGTCAAGCTCCACCAAAATGACTGTGAGACAATTTTCCATTTTATAACTTTTCTCAGTGATACTTATACATGTTCTTATGTTGCATGTTTGAGCTGATTCCAATCAAAATTGGATTTTTTTTACAAATAATTTTAATATACTCAAAAATAGGACTAAAGGGCCCTGGCCAAATTTTGGCAAAAAACAACTAGAAGAGAATTCTTTACTATAATTTTTTCTGGTACTTATACACATCGTTATGTTGTGTAACAAATTTGAACTGATTACTTTCAAAATTGAAATTTTTAAAGTTACTCGAAAACTGGACCAAATCCCATGATTAAGAAAATTCAGCCCCCAAAGTCATTTTCAATTTGTATTACATTTTCTAATACATTGATGCTTTTATGCAGTCTAATATTCCATTAGGTTTAGTTATCAGCAATTTTAATAAGCAGTAGATTTTCCCACCCAAACTTTCACTAATGATTACCAATAAATATATACCCCTTGCCTCTCCCATTTTCTGTTTCTGTATTTTTGCTTTCTAGTAGCTATTAAATAATAAATCAAGTAAATGATCAGATGATAAGACTATGGTGTAAAAAGTTCTTCATAAGATGATTTTGGGTTGTCTCTCTCATCCTATTGTCTCTAGGCTCAGCCTGAGGTACCACTCATAGTACTCAATGGGAACTCATTGTTCTCATAATTTGTCAGAATGTTAATAGCAAATTGTCAAATACATGTTAGTAGTACCATACTAATGGGTTATTAAGCGTAGGTGCTTATGCAGAAAATGACAGAAAAACGGATGCTTAATAATGACTCAGCGCTTAATAAATACAGTAGGTGTTGTTTACAATAATAATTGTACTGGCTTTACAATGGCAGCGGATGAAAAATACTCTTGACAGTGTGGTTTGTGGCCACCATGTTTATATAAAGTATCTGGACTCCTACTGTTTTAACTTCTACTGCTTGGACTCCTATACTTTTGTACTGCACTTAACAAGCCCATAAGATCTACATTGAGCTAGGTGCCTAATAAAAACTTTATCAATGAACGTAATAACCCATTAGTACAGTATAAGAGCATGTGTAGATTTACTTACATCTGATTAAATGTTTCAAAATAGGAAGCAGTTGGGCTGAAGCAAGAGATATCTGGGGTTTTGAGACATTGTTTAAATGAGGCTAGTTTATATACATGTAGCTATTTTGTATACAATATACACCTCAACTCAAACTGGGTATAGTACTTGTATCATGCTCTGAATTAAATTCATGTTTTAAAATTTTCATACATGTACCCAAGAAAATTAATGCTTGCCAAACATAATATTACCTGTCTAATGAAAACTTATGAATTAACTAGAGTGACCTTATTTCACTAGTTTGCATTTATAATATTAATAGAATGAAGAAAAGGATTTGGAACCAGTTGATGAATTAATTACACTGAGGTCTCGATTTTAATGAAATGAAAAAGAAGAACAAAGAACTATCTGATAGATTAGATGGAGAAAAGATCAAATACCGTGCATCACTTTCTGCTTCTAGTTTTAATGACTCAGGTTAATTAGAAAGCCAAGAGTGCATAATTATGTACTCTTGGAATAGCTTATAACCATAATTATGTATGATTTATAATTAAAGCTGCAAGCAGAGTAAGAAGAGGAATGGCTCAAGAAATTGATGACTTGAAGTTTCATTTTAAAGCAATGAATAGTCCATTAGAAAATACCATAAAAGAATTACAAGAAGAAATAACGATACTAAATGAAAAATTGGTTACAGAAAGACAACACAAGGAGCAGATACAAAATAAGATAGATGGTAGTATTTATTATTTGTATTTGATACAATCACTGTTGTTGTTATACACATAGAAACAAATAAGACAATTGAAGATAAAGTACAACCCTCTCAGGAAGTGACAGTGAAATTAGATGATCTTCAGCATGAAGCACAATTAACTAGTAACTGACTATAACATTGAATGTATATTACTGTTACATTTATAAACAGGTGAAACCAATGAGAAGTTACAATCAGAAGAAGAAATGCAAAAACTTATGGTAATGAATAAATTTAATTGTGCCTTATTTATACCATAATAATTGCTGCACAATTTATTGATTGAAGCTGGCCTTACTGATAAAGTAGTTTGTTTTAACATTTCCCTTAATGTTTTACATCCTTCTAAATTTCTAATATTGTTGTGTTTATAAACCCATTTATTATTTTTAGGAATACAGCTATTAAATTCATTTAAGGATGCCAATTATGATGATGCCATTCGTTTCTTACCATATGTCAAGAACCACAAACACTTACGACATCAATTCACTATTATAGCTGCTTCGTATCAAGTGGAAGCAAATTTGCTTTATATGGCTTCATGGAACGGCTGGTTAAGTATCATAAAAGATCTCATCACTAAATATAATTGTAACTCACAAGAAGAAGATAGTAATGGGAATACCTGTCTTCATTATGCTGCAATGCGTAATCATGTTGATGTGATGAAGTATCTTTTTACAGAACATTCTGATTTCATGGCCATCAATAGGGATGGGTGGACACCTCTTCACACTGCTGCTTTTTATGGTCATTCTCAAGCTGTTGAACATTTATTATCAACTGGTAAGTGTGATCCATTAGCTAAAGACAATCTGGGGTGGACACCATTTAAACTAGCTAAGGAGTTTGGTTGCACAGATACTTTAACTATTTTGAAGAAGTTTGGTGGTATAAAATCATCTCATCCAATTGATTCTTATGTCAACATCCTCCTTGTGGGTAATCCTAGAGCTGGTAAAAGTACTCTTAGTCACGTCATCAAGGACACAGCTATTAGTTCTATTGTTCTTGGTTCCTTTAGAAATGTTGGAGGGGTAGTGCCCTGTACTGCTGGCATCATTCCTTATAAACTACAACACAGGACACTGGGTAACATCATTCTTCATGATTTTGCTGGTCATTCAGATTACTACTCCAGTCACAGTGCTGTCATTGAGAATCTGTTACAAGGTTCTGGTGGTGTGTTTTTGATAGTAGTCAATATATTGGAGAAGGAAGCAGTCAAACAGCTTCATCAGTGGCTAACAATTGTGAGAAATGAAGCACAGAAAGCTCTTAATCAATGCCATGTTATTGTAATGGTCAGTCATGTGGATGAGATAAGTAATCCTGTTGAAAGGAGAAGGAGAAAGGAAGAAATTCAGCAGATTATTGTAAGGGAAAGGTGTGATAGTGTCTTCTTAGATTGTCGTAAGCATGGTGGGAGGGGTGTGGAATCCTTCTTTAATAAGTTGTCTAGTGCCTGTGAGTCCATTCGTAGTACAAGTGGAAGGAATTTGAGTCTTTATTGTCACATGATGTATGGTCTACTGGAGGAAAGGAAAGAGAATATACTGACCCTCTCCAATATAATGTTTGCTGGTAAGGACAATTACATTATACCAGATAAGAGAGAAGACATCTTGGATGTTCTTGATTCTTTGCACTCAACTGGTTTGGTCAGTGTTCTTAAAAGTGAAGACAAGGTATGGGTTGTTGTGAATAAGGGTATACTACTAACTGAGGTGGATGGGATTCTCTTTGCTCCAGAGACATTCAAAGAACATGTTGACATTGCTAGCAATACTGGTATTGTTAGTGTGTCTGGTCTGACTAGACTCTTCCCTAAATATGATCCTGACATGTTGATTCGTTTTCTGAAGAACATGGAACTCTGTCAAGAAATCAATCCATCTTTCCTAAGAATGACAAACCTTCATCAGTTAGCAGTGGAAGAGGAGGAGGAGGGAGGGAGAGAAAGAAGAGGAGAAAGGTTGTTGTTCTTTCCATGTCTTTTGTCTAGTGATAGACCTGATGAGATGACTAGTCAAGTGTACCAGTTTGGTTGGTGTCTACAGTGTACTAGAGAATATGATTTTTTTCCTCCTCGATACTTCCATGTCCTCTCATTACGTCTTGCTTAAAAAATGGCTTTACCTCAAGAAGATGGCTAGTTAAATTGTTACTGTACATTTTGGAACAATGGACTTTATTGGTTTAATGCTCATGGTGTAGGATCACTGGTAGAGATTGTGGATGAGAGCCAATGTGTACTAGTAATGATGTCCTGTGAGAGAGGTTACAGTGACAATATGGTGTCTCTAAGAAGAGATGTGATAGGAGAGGTAATGAGTGTTTATAAAGAATCCTGTCCCAGTCTAGAGGTAAAAGAATTAGTTATCGATCCTAAAGAACTAGCCTATCCTGTGAATACACCATTGCAAGAGAAAGGACAGTGTATAGTGTGAAAGCTGTACTCTCAGCAGTAGTTGAACTACGACCATTTTTTGTTACCACTGGTACTAGACGTACAGAATTAAAGGAGATCCTACCTAAAGAATCATTATCAGATATTAGTAACCTGTCACTATTAGGAGGACGTGATATTCAGGTAACAATTACCATGCACAAACTCAAGTGCCAAATGTAATAAGATGTAAAATTTATTGTATTATTATTATTATATAGGAATTGATTGCAATAAATAAAGAATTCAAAACACCATTGACTGCAATAAAGCTAGGTATGTTTGTCAAGTACATAGTAGAGACTATGTGTATGTATGTATGCACATTATTAATTATTTTGTTTATAGATATTAAAGATCTTGTTACTATCATTGAAGAGCTAACAATACTCAATCAATTGGATTGTACTAAATGGTATCAGTTTGGACTTCATTTAGGATTGTATGATCCTAGACTAAAGGCTATAGATACTGCTATAAAAAGACAGTGGAGTGTTTACATGAGTGTATGTCTGCCTGGTTAAGAGGAGAAGATAAAGTGAGAGAGAAAGGAGT